CTTGATACTATTCTTTTAGTTTTGTTCCCATGTTCTGCCCACAAGCAGAATTCTTTTTTTAGTTTGCAGAAGGTAGTCATATTTACTCCATATCTGTAATCTGTCAAAGGATGTTAAAAGATTCATGCATTCTTTTGAAAGGACTAATAACATACCATTAAGGTCCCAGTGGAATTTCCTCGGTAACTCTTCCACTTCATCCCATCAACACTATACATGACGATAAATTGAGAGATGTAGAGGTTGGAGAACCTTTGACGAGCACCCTGGGTCTTGATGCCATGAATAATCATTGGTGCCAACAGATCCACCTAACAAAACAATATTTAATTTTAACCTATTTTAAAATGGGTGTTCCAACTCCTGAAATGAACTCTTGGCTTAAGAATCTTCACTGTTACACATTGTATGTGATGTAGATAAACAGTAAAAAAAATGCTCATTTAATTCTCCATCTATTTCTGGCAAATCAGGCCACTTTGAAATAATTTGAAACCATTTCCTCCACATATACACCTGGTGCTGTACATACAGATCCAGAGAGTCTGATATCTTGCCTATACCTCAGCTTTTGGTTATTGTAAGGTTCTGTCAAATTAACTGTGACTCACAGCAACCCTTTGAACAAACACATTGAAGCATTGCCCTCTCCTGCGCTATCCTCATGATCTCGGTCATGTTCAAGCCCACTGTTGCAGTCACTGTGTCAGTCCATCTTCTTGAAGTCTTTCTCTTTTGCTGACCCTTTACTTTTCATCAGCTTAGGCCAGATCACAGCCAATAACCTTCTTTTCTCAGGTCAGTCACGTCCCTGTCACTGATAGATAAACTGCTATACATCTTCCAAGTATTAGTCAGGCAGTAGCTCTCATGACTTGCCTTTCTTTTTTTTTAAATTTTTTAAAATTATTTTATTATTTTTGTGTGCGTGTACCGTCAAATCAGATCTGACAGGTACAGGAGGAGATTGTCCCTCCTTCCCCGGCAGAGCATCTGGTGGATTCGAACCGTGCACCTCTGGGATTGTAGTTGCATGACTTGCCTTTCTTGACTCTGCCAGGCAAATGCGCCATACTGGAAAGGTTGTTTCACTGGCCTCCTTCCTTATTAGGTGGACATGTGTGAGGCAGTGAGCCTATTTGAATCAGTGTTACCAATTTCTTGTGTCCTTTCCCATCTCCCAATATGTACTGGAGTCCTGAGCACACAATCTGGAGATTTATAGATCTATAGACTATAGTCTGTCAATATAATACCATTTGGGACTAATGTTTTCTTGAGCTAATAAAGTACTATCAATGTAGGGCATGCCATAAATCTGAGGGGGAAAAGTATAGCACAGAAACAAGTACTAACAAGGAGAGGATGACACATACTGTATGGAAGCTTGCCAGGAGGCAGGGAGGTAGAGAAGAACAGAACTTTCCCCAGAGCCAGTGCCCTAGGGCTTCTAGCTTTCTAAATAGGGGGAGGGGGAGAGTGAAATAATTTTCTATTTTTTAAAGCCACCAAGTTGTGATCTTTCTGTTGCAGTCGCACTAGATAATTGTGAAGACCATGGACGGCTACGGGAACAAACAGATCCATCCTAGAGAGGGTTAAACCAGGCTGATCCTTGGAGGCAAGGATTTTGAAGCTCCGTCTGATATACTTT